GATCAAGTGATGTGATGTCTACAGTAAGAAAAGAATCGTCAATGACTGCTTTGGAATGTGCACTGCGTTCCGACGGTAGTGCTAAGCGAACTGTTAAATTTTTAAAGCGCGGTTATAAGATCTAACAGATCTTCTTGTTTCCTATGAATGGTGATTGTTTTAGCGGCTCCCAGTAGAAGAAGTCATAAAACAACAGACATAGTGTTTCCACACTTACTGTGCTGACTTCATATAAACTGCTTTAATTTACTGGAACTACAACTGGAAAAACAAAATCCAGTTATGCTAGGAAGTAAAAGAAATTGGGCAAACTAACTTTGTTGCGTTTTGGGCAGCGTTTTCACGTATTAACTGTTCCTTGCCTTTTAGGTTCTGTCTGGGGACTCAGCAGACAAGCCGCCAAAAGACGGTGTCTATGTACACGGTTTGTTTTTGGAAGGCGCTCGCTGGGATCGTAAGAGGTCAGTAGTGACATCTTGAGGGATTTGTTCTTCAGTTATTGTAGTGACGCATTAAGCTTAAAAGATAATGTTACTGGGCCTTTTTCAGAGGTTTGATCGGCGAGTCGTTACCAAAGGTTCTTCATGACACGATGCCAGTCATCTGGGTGAAGCCAGGTAAGACAAATTAATGAGCACTTGGTACGCTTATCATTGAAAAAACAGAAAGATCCTTTGTTCAGAAAATAAAGGGACAAAATCCATGTATAATAATGTCATAAACGTCACAGAAATTGATAACATGAGAGAAAGCAGGTGTCGCAATTCGAAAGTGACAGGAGTGTTTTATATTAGTTTCATACATGAATTCTTTGCATAAATGGCGCCTAAATATAATTAACTGTCCTTCGTACATCCTTAGCCTCGTACTGATGTTTCCAGACGAAGGATTTTTCACATGAATGTGAGGCTTAGGATGTACAAGCATTGTTATTCAAGTATCGGGGCCAGTTGTGCAAAGGGTCTATGACTTTTGCTTCTTTCTGTGCTTTATGATATCGTTAACTTGTGGGAACAACGAAACCCGTTAATAACATTTTATACATTCTCTTTATGATAATGAACAGCGGGGAAGTCACTAAGTGAAAATGGAGACAGACCCTTAACAGCTTTCATTGAACATGATTGTTTTCTTTTCATTGCGGCAGGTAAAATTTCTGATTTTAAAGACAGCCAAGAGTACAAATGTCCAGTGTATAAAACAAGTGAGCGGCGAGGAACTCTTTCTACCACAGGCCACTCAACCAACTATGTGATGCCAGTTATGCTACCTACTGACAAGCTACAGAATCACTGGATCAAGCGAGGTGTCGCACTACTCTGCCAACTGGACGACTAAAGCTCATGTGAAATATATTTTAGTGCCCCGGCTGTTTGACGATCGGTCTTGATGATGTTGGACAGACAAAACCAGTTTTTGTAGTACAGTTTTAGTTTTAATTTCCAAGAGTTTGCGTTAAAACATTCGGTGTGTATGATACAAATAAGTTCATCTCAAACTTACAACAGAAGTAAAAAAAGGGTAGTATAAAACGCTCTTATATTTTAATGATGATTTCATGCACATGTACACATGCAGATTACTGAACAACGTTGTAAATATTATCTTTATACATGCGTGAATAAAGCTATTTGGTGTGAAGTTGGCTTACAGCACAGACCTGAGGCAGAGCGCAGTGAATTTTCTCTCTTCAAGGGCTAATACAGGACGAACCTTCACCCCGTGCCTAGAAACAAACTATAACAGTTGTATCCGAAATAAGTGAATAATTAATAACTTTAGAAAAAAATCAATTTATTGACAGTGCTAATTTAAAAACAGCGCGCATATCTTGAACATCCCCTTAATACTTGGCAAAATGGTATACCTCGAGAGCGTAGACTACGAGTAGTCCCTCTTCCTCTTAGTCCGTCGGTGCGTGAGGCGAAAGAAGACTGCTCCAGGATTTCGCGCGGCCATTTTTTTCTCGCGGTTTTTGAGTTTTTTTTTGTAAAAAAAATACGTCTTAGTCGGCGTGTCGGGTATGTTACGGGTCAATGGGTGAGTGAGTGAGAGATTTATGTATGTCACACCAATCAGATTGGATCTACTATAAACAGCCAATCAAATTTCTTGTTGTGAAGGTAAATAGTATGTGAGGAGATTTGATCCTGATACAGTTCAGAACGGCCATATTTTTTCTTCTATAAAAGAGGAGGAACTATTCATGTATTGGGCTTATTTCGACAACTTCTGAGGCGAGGATTTTGTGGGCGGGTTTGATAAACATTTGCAGTTGGATAATCAGTCAAAGAAACATAGTGTTTGGCATATAACTACGAGCATTCAATGAAGGGTGAGCTTTTCCCATTAGATAAGGTTTTCAATTAAATGAGTCTTAGCCACTCTGCTACTAGGTTTAAGATTTGAATGATAAGAACAATTGTATTTTAGGGGAGCGGAATGCACTACTGGGAATTTGATGAGGTTGCGACCAGGTTCAA